AGGTAAGGCCCCCGTCATTCCTTGCTCGCACAAGTCTCTCGAAGACTTCTGAGGGTTGCTCGTAAGGGGGCAACCGAATAACGCTTAGAAGAATTTTACAACAAAAAAAAAACAATATATGACGAGTGAAATTGATACAACTACAGGGACAACCTCATTGAAGTGAAAGAAGGGGGCACAGTAGATCTTTCAGGTCGCCGTGTATCCACCCCTTATGAATACAATATTCTCATTCATGGAGATAAGGAGAAAATCTGAAAAATTCAGAGGAATGAATCCTCAGAACTGACGCAAATAAATCACTCTTTTCTGATAAATATCCACCTATAGCCAAACACGTTTCCGTCCCCGCTCTTGTTTTCCACTACGAGCCATCTCACCATCTGCCTAATTTATTTTTGCCTTTTCTAATACGTGTCTCGCCGGTCTTTATACCTGTTGCTCGAAAACAGCTCGTTTATGCTTTCAGGGTCCTCTGGCTGGAAAAACGAGGAGAAAAGGTTTCGAGAACGCACTCATAATTCCGGAGACATGGTCATTGAAAAGGCGAAAACTCCAGATAGGTAGGATATCGATTGGGAAAACTCATATCAGCTCGTCTCCGGTGAACTCTGATTGGCTGTGGGATCTTTCGTTGAAACTGGAAAATACACAACCACACTCTGGAGTTTTTGAGATTTTCCTCACTATGTCATATGTATTATAGATGATTTTAAAAAATAATATAATATATGAACATATTGGAAAATAGTTTGGTATTGTCCCATCAGGATTTGACAGTTGTGAGAGTTATTAAAATGTGGAACAACAAACAAGCAAGGTCGGATACGAGAGGGGGGGGGGGGGGATGGGAGCCATACCCCATGTAAAAATGTAGGTATACTGGATACCAGAATAAATCTGTGCATGTTCTCAAAGACATCCAACCACGACCCACATTAAATATAGAATAAAAATGATTTCGAGAAAACTTTGTTTCTTCAGTTTTTCCATCCATCAATATCAAGTATTTGCAAAATCTACATACTGAGTGAAGAAAAACGTCTCAAGCCATATTGCTGTTATTAATGATCCGATTTTGGAACAAAAGAGCAAATGTAATTACTCTTCAGATAATTATGAGTGGGCTCTGATAATTTTTTTTTCCACCACTAATGGAGAACCATCATTCGAGGTTTTTCTCTAATGAGAAGTAACAGTTTTTTAACTTAGGTGAATAATGAATCGATGAAGTACCTAGGTAGAAAAAACGGTCAATAGTGTCAATGATATTATTCAATATACACACAGATACCGATGCGTATGCAACTAACGAAAGTGATACATTCTTAAAACCAAATGAAGATGAAACTAAAAATCACATTACAGGTGAAAGCAACGTTTGAAGTATGGAAAATGTTTGGAATAATCTGATTATTATCAATTCAATAAAAGAAATGATTAGAAATCATACTAATAAAAATGTCACAACACCAATCATACGTGAGATCTCACTATCATGTGTGAATTAGACCAAGAATTCGAATAACCCTGACTTTCGGCAAGGACACATTTTTTAACCAATCAAAACAATTTCAGCAATGGCAGTCGATACGATATTATGTACCACTTCAATTAATCTTCACTGGTATCATGTGCGATATTCATGCGGTGAAAATATTTGAAAACATATTAATGAATACTGTATTTTTAATATCTACTCCCAATATTTATCAGTATCCTTCCTAACTTCATGCAGGCAAGGTTATTAACAGTTATTTCACCTGGCATCTTGATACAGCGTATATTTTCTGACAGCCGAATTTCTTTAAACAGGAATTTTGATACTTGAAATAAAACTGAATATTATTTTCTGTTTATACTTGAATTCATCTTCCTAAAATTTCTTTTCAAGAGACACCAATGAAAATTTCTTTCTTTTTCGCTATACTCAATGTGCCATGACTTCCTATACCCCTTCCCCCTCAAACATAACCTGGATCCACCCCTGCAAACAAGTCAGGCAATTGGCTATTATATTCAACTGCCTATAATTGATAATCTTGAGTCTGATGTTTTCTGCTAGTAGTAGAGATATCAGACCCATGAAGCATCACCTACCGTCCGTTCATTCTTCCTAATTTTTTAAAAATATTCTATACCTGTTGCTCGAACATGCTCGTGTTTATAGTATCCTCTGAATAGAGTATCGAGAAAAAAGTTCTCGAGAAGGTACTTATGATTCCGGAGAGACGGTTATTGAACGGCAGAAAATTCCAGGATAGCTAGGATATCGATTAGAAAGAGTCATATCAGCTCGTCTCTTGTGAACCCTCATTAGCTGAAGGACTTTTCGTTAGAACTGGGAAATACACAGCCACACTCTCAGTTGCTTTCCAATTCATTCGTAAACATTTCAAATTAGTAGGATAAGTTTTGAAGTGTATTAGTTTGGTTTGAGGTCGGGATGTTGAACACTGACACGACAGTTTTATTAAAAAAAAAAACGTTTTTACAGTAATACCTGACACGGAACCATCACTCGGTTTTCCATAGATCTGGATTACAGCTTCAACGAGTAGCATGCCTGAAACCTGAAAGTGTCCGTAATTAGGAGCAATTCAGAGGCTTTACTCGCAATGGAAAACTTTTCCATCGCTCTCTCCGTTTCTCTGTCCGGGAATTTCCCCAACAACAAATATCATTAGTGGCTATTCAGTTTAAAAACCGTCGAAAATTAGGGGTATTCTTTCGAACAAAAGCGCCTTATGCTCGCAAATTCATTTCACCTAGCGATGACTTTCAAAATCCGATTCTTTGTATCTGAATTATCACACTCACTGTTTGTGTAAAATGTCTCAGCAAAAATCCAATAACTGTTCGTTACATCTCGGTAACAAGATGAGAGAGCATCCACGTTCGCTTCTCTAAAACTCAGTTAAACCTGTAATTGAATGAGGAATTGCAGTGTCATTTAACTGAGATTAAAAACGTGTCGACGACATAGCTGGAGATGAACATTCGCGAAAAAAGAACTATACAGTAATTTTCATTGATCTCAAAGAAATGATAAAATTGAGATTCGAAGTAAGTACACGATAAGACAATATGAACAGCCCGGGGAAAGAGGGACTTGAAAAACTACAACAACCTTGATTAATGCAAGTCTACACATAATTAGAAATTCTAAATAAAGGTTTCCAATTTCAGAGCCTCAACACATCAATAAAGAACCAAATGCTGCAGTGAACTGAATCCTTGAGAATGAATACCGATATTGAAAACATGAGGCCACCCCGTATATTTAATGCATTCGGTAATCTCTAAATGGAACACAGCTTCTTTCTTGATAGGAGCCAACTTTCATGGCAAGATGGGGTTCAGCCGGTCGAGATAAAATTATTAAGAGCTAAGGAGTAAATATTTTGTGGCCACAGTCGGTGTAAAAGTTTTTAAAAGTTCTCATAATCAAGCTGCTCGCTCGGCAATTTCTAATTAAAATCTGAGAATATCTGCTCGGCTTGATGAGGCAATTGCTCAGAAGGCTAACAAATTGAAAACCTAATGAATAATTACAGTTGCTATCGAACATTTCGAAACTAAAATATTTTGTTCATGGCTATACACAAAATTGCTCTTGTTTTGCTGTGTTCGATAAATCAATGAGGTACTTTGTATTTCATCAATTTTATTTCCGTATCTGATATCACAATGACTCAATTGTGTTATTTCACAAAATCTTATCTTCCATAAAAAGTCAAATTTCGAGCAATAACAGCTCTGTGTAATAAATGAGCATCACTTGAGAGACTGACTAGAATGACTACAAACCGAAGAAATCAGAATTTGACTATCATTTCTTGCTCGTGCTATTTCCAAAAGGTTTTTGATCGATAGACATAATACAGGAGCGTGATGTCGAGAAGTTCTCAGACTGTGGAGAGTATATTTCCTCTAACTCATCAGCTCATTTTTCATTTTCAGATACAAGCATCGAATGAACTCGAGATCCACTTCAGACCAACATCATCTTACGCGACATTAATCCAAACTCTACAGAATGCTTCCCGCAGTCTTCCGTAGGTTTCTAACCACTAGTGACGTCATCGGACGGAACGCAATTATTTTCCAAATTCCGTCACATTTCTCAATCGGTCGACTCGCCGAATCACCCTGGATGGCCATCGATGGGGCAATCGAGATTAATCAGGAATAGTCGAATAGAGCAGATATTCGAGATAGTACAGATTGGCACAGTAATAATGGCTATGACCTCTATCTCGAAGACAGCAGATCGCGAGTATACAGTCAGATGAATAACAATGTTTGCTAGATTTGGTAGTGGGTTTTTCTCACATGCAATCTCGTTGTTCGTTCATTCAGATGAAAATGGTAATTTCATCAGTCATTCCGATCTTTCAACTTGCTCATTCACTGTTATCGCTCTGATTCAGTAAAATATTCCAGATAAGATCTCGGCGAATGAGGATAAACAAAAGAGACAGAAAGAAAGATAACGAGGTATCGCCTCAGGAGTTTAGCGTAACGCAGGCTTGAGATATGATACATTTTGCAAGTATGAAGTGCAGATCCTCGGAACAAGTCAGACAAATGGCCATGATCTTCAACTGCCACTGTTCGTAATTAGAAAGCATTGCTTGGATGTGGCTTGGCAGTAGAATAGATCCATTTAAGAAGCCTAGGGTATCGGTAATGAGGATTGGGCACGGTGATATATTTTGCAAGTCTGAAGTGCAGATCCTTGGAACAAATCAGAAGAATGACCAAGATATTGAACTGTCAATGTCCATAATTAAAAAGCATTTAGCTTGGATGTGGTCTAGTAATAGAAGAGATTAATTAAAAAGACTTCAATAAGCGGAGCATCTCCCAACTCGTAGGTTGTTAACTCCCTATTCTACGATGCTGAGGACTTAATGACCGTACAGGGTGATCGCGGTAATCGCTAACGATGCCAAGGACTTGCTGTCGGTACGGTGACCATACAGGGTGATCGGTCGATGTCCACCGCCAAGCGCCTCGTGCTGAGCTGGCGCGGCAGGAAACAATCGCACGACAGCTCGTCGGGAAAGCTCGTGGGACATCGGGTGGGACCGGCAGAGGACTGCCACGAGCTGGACGAGATCGCGGTGGTATCGAACGCTGAGCACGGCCATCTTAAATATGGCAGCGGGACGACGTTGTCGACGATCAACGGACCGAGGCTTGTACCAGGTGAGAAAGTTAGATTTTTCAAGATTTTGCAGATTATTTGCCACTACTAGAATTCACATTAGTAATGGATGGAGAATTTTTGAACTGAAATAAAATGATGGTTCACCTGAGTGAGAGACAGAGAATTTTTGGCTCTATACCAAAAACGATATTCACTCGGGGGTATATTGTGTTGACAAATTTACCATTTTTGCTAATCCAACTGACCCTGTAACTCGTTTTCGAGATTACTTCAAGTCTAGTGCATGTAATGATTATTTTCAATTTTGGGTACACCTTATACTGCACAACATTCTCGTTATTGTCTTTCGCAATAATATCATTATCTGGAAAATGGAGAAGTAATTATTTCAACTACCCAATTCTCAATGGACTATTCGCAGGGAATGACTCTTTGACAGACAGAAAACGGTCTTCACCATGTCACAATCAGAAACCGAATGGAAATACAATGCGGGGATTAGAGGATTAGACGAGACATTTCCTAAGCCCTAACCCCAAGACAAATTTCTCGGCTCATCCTGAGGAAAGCTGGCAAATTTATCGCTTCCTAGAGATTCATAATCATTATTACACCTATAATATACGTGAGGCATTGTTCTCAGCCCATTATCAAGCGTGCATGACACTACTGAGTGTGTATATACATGGTGTTTCAAAACTTGGTGCCAAGATTTCAGTTGCTTATTTCTCAGATTAAAATGAGACTTTTTTTCCATAAACATGTTTCCGCAAAGGTTTCATTACCAATCCACAGAGCGTTGAAATTTCACGATTGTTTTTCCCTTTTCTTTATATTTCGAGATATTTTGATTGAATTTGGTACATAGGCCAAGTTTTTGGGTTCACATTATGTGTGGAATTATTGTAACAATCTACAGGGAAAAGAAACATTTTTTTCTGCGAAAACCATTTTTTCTGTGACGGGAAAAAAGTGTATCTAAACTCTGTTGACAGGTTATGGAATATCACTTTTCATAAATAGCTTTCTCCCCACTGGAAAATGATGATGAATTTTGTTGTGCTATAGCTTCGAAAAATAAACCAATAACACCGTTTCCGAGAAAGAACTGCAAGTCATTCAATCATCTATTCGACTTCGCGGTAACGTAAATTACTAAACAACCACTAAATTCGCAAATTTTTGAAAATCAAATCACAGAGAAGATCAGAGTTTGAAAAAGTATACTTCTCTTATACATTTTGATTTTCATTTCAATACTGGACAAAATGGTGAGTTATAGTTTTTCGCACGGAATAAAATTCCGAGTTGTATAGCAAGTGTCGCGATAGATCTTACATGATTTTTCCATGAGAGAATAATATCATAGTGAACTTTGTGGAAACGGTGTACCAGATATATCAGGCATACTATGAGACAATAGAAGCTTGATTTTTGGTGTCGTTGAAATGAACAAGGTTGGAATGCTCTGAATTGGATGCTCATAAAATATGTTATCTGATAGCTCTGAACGACTTTTGTTTATTTGCCATTCTATATACAGAAAATGACACGCTGTATCGAATGACACCATGATCAGCCCAATAGGACAGATAGTTTTCGAGATATCGGCGACAAATTCAGCTCTTCACTTTTATTGGCAATAGGATCACTCTGGTAGGCCATTACGTCTCCATTTTCCAAAACTTCACAATTTCCACCACAGATTCGTTTATAACGACATCGAATTAGTCTATGTGAATTTTTTCAGATTTTTAATAGGCCAAATGAAAATTTTCATTATCCGCCTCTAAGGCTTAGATATTATATGACTGTATACCCATCTTCGGACAGCCGAAAGTGCCAAAAAACGGCGGAAATCTATGCGGATTATCAATTTTTCAGTAGAAAATGACACGCTGACTTGAATGAAACCATGATCAGCCCGATAGAACAGATAGTTTTCGAGATATCGGCGCTCAAAGTCGGTTCTTCGCTTTTATTGCCAATAGGAGCACTCCGGTAGGCTACTACGTGTCCATTTTCCGAAATTTCCCGATTTCCACCACAGATTCGTTCAGTACGATATCGAGTTAGTCGATGTCAGATTTTTAATACGCTAAATGAAAATTTTGAATTTTCCACCTTAGACTTCCGTACGATATAGTCACCGAGCCATCTTCGGACGCGAATTATCGCTTTTTCAGTATTCGATATATCTTGAGGTTGAATGATGATTGTGCTTGTATAGAATTAGTCTGACTAGTGATGTTAGTGATGCTATGATATATCTGGGTAGCATGTTCCGTGGAGTTTCTTATGAAGAGGAAGCGTATCCATCTTTAATAAATTCCAATTCTAATGGCTTCAATGCAAACGAAACGATATTGAAATTGGGGTTTTGCTGTAATCGAACTTTCGTGGAAAATATTCATGAATTCGCATTCGTCTCCCTCCACACATATTTTGTGCACTCCACCGGAATTCGCATCATCCAATTATGAATTCCGAAAGGGTTAGCGACTGCCGACTTCCATGTATCACATTCATGGAGACGTTAAGCTCACCTAACCACACATTAAGAGTGATTCACACGTCTAAATGAAGAGAGTGGATTACCGACGGATATTCACGGCCGGAGAAGTATAAACTCCCAACTGCAACTTCGGATTGCTTTCGTGTCGGGAAAGTGATATACCTCGACCGAGTTATCAAACTCCAGATTGGGAATGCTCTTCCACGATAGTTATTTCTATCTAGCCACATCATCCTGATTCATTAAAAACTCAGTTCAGATTGTTTTTTTTTTCTCGATGGGGTTGTCATTAACATAGAAGCTTTCTAGGGTATCATTACAGCCAGCAATGCTTTTTGAGAAATTTCTTCAGTTATTCGATTCTCATTAGAGCTGACACATGCAATCGATCGCAATATTTATCGCTAATACAACGTAGGGATCAACCCAACGTAAGAAGCTAAGCCAACGTAGAGATCAAACCCAACGTATGGAGCTAACAGAACGTAGAGATCAAACCCAACGTAGGGAGCTAACCCAACGGAGAGATCAAACCCAACGTAGGGAGCTAATCCAACGTAGAGATCAACCCAACGTAGGAAGGTATCCCAACGTAGAGATCAAATCCAACTTAGGGAGCTAACCCAACGTAAAAACCAAACCTAACGTTGAGATAACTGTAGAAGATATAGAATAGTCTTCCACTGATATATCACCTTGTTAGTTATGGTTAGCTTAATAATTATGTCCAGGAAGACGTAAAGTGTTTGAAGGATGTCATCATTATTAGAAGAAATAGGCAACTCGATAGCTAGTAAGAAGATCAATCACAAGAAGTGATAACAGATTGAAATAATGCATTCGCTTCGTTTCAAAAGGAGCATTAGAGTAGCTAGATGGAGTCCAAACATATATTCATGTATCACATTACTATTATATTCAAAAAGTCATTCCTCTTACGCAACACCATTGTCTATTCTAGCTAGTAAACATACCCTACTACAGAGAGTCACATCAACTCTTGAACCACTTCAACCGCCCTCCCAAACTTCTTCGTCAAAAACTTTCAACTCCAAGTTCCGGTGACGGTTTCGCATTATCAAAACGACTGGGGAAGACACAATCTACAATATAAATTATACATTGGATGAGATACGCGAGAGAGGTTTTACGAGCCTTTCGAAATTCATCTTGGAAGTCTACCCTCGAGATAACACTAAACTTGTATTCTTTAATTGAAAATCATCGACCTCTGACGGATTATCGCCTATGAGATTACGCCAATCAACTCACAGAGCGTTCGGAATACCTATAATCTTTGACTTGTCGCTAATCCAAACACTATAGCAGTGGTCGGTAAACTTTATGAACTTGAAGGCTAAATTTTTATTCAAAATAATTTCAAACTGGATCACAGATTATTCATATTTCTGTACTTTCTTCAGTATTTTTTTTTTAAATTGGTTAAAATTAAATACTATTATTTTTTGAAAAACAAACTCCATTCATATAGGTTGCATAAGTATTTTTAAGATTAAAAAAATGTACTCAAAATAAAAAAATATAAATTTTTTTTTAAAAATGCCTCAAAAAATGAAAATAAAACATCTGTGAAATTGGATGCGCGCTTTAAAAATTAGGTCACTTGCTTCATTTTTTCCCGTTCTTTTCAAATATCGAACCAGATTTACAAAATTTTACCATACTGAGTGTTGTTTTTGAACTAGAAGAAGTTTTCTGTTTGTCCTTGAGGCGGACCTGGATTCTGATCTCAAATTGTATTCATTCTTGATGAGTAATATATTAGTTGAATAATTCTACCAAGTCTGAATAAATCAGACAAAGTGGTTGAAAAAAAAAAGACCAGATTAAGATTTTGCCAAAATCAAGATAACGTCCTGTATCTCAGTTATAAAAGAAGTTAGACACATCAATTGGCGGGGATTTGAATCCATCCAAGTGACCTCTATCTGCAGGTATCGTATGTACATTTGAATCTGAAACACCCTGTATAGTAAATTACACTATACCTATACCTTTGGTAAGGTACTCACAGCAATCGGTTTGTGTCGTTGCATTAATTTTTATTTTGCTTTTCTGCATATTAATTATGTGTTCCTGATTTGTAATGAGCAACTCTAGAATAATTTTTATTCCATTATTTTTATTCTTTTTTCTTGTGCAATTTTTTTATGTTCCAATATATTTCTGGAGAGCCATAAGCTCACGTCAAATGAACCACAATATGTGGCTCGTGAGCCACATTTTGCCTACCCCTGTACTAGAGGAGTAAATTACAGCTTATCTTCATGCAGATACATAATTTCCAGGGCGTTTACCATGATTAATCAAATGTTTGTTGTTCGTCGATGTCTGGAAACCGATTTCATCAACATACAAATCACTAGCTTCACTCGATATGCTTCAGATACTGCTGACGATATTGCCTATGTGAGATGCTACATAAATCCAATACGTTATCACGCATGAATAGAATTCAAATTACAACTCTTTTGTGATACATTTGTGATACATATTATCCAT